TCTTAGTGTTTTAGTTTAGGTATAATTATAAATGTGTTGTAACACTACCTATCCCATTGCTCCTGATAACGACACTGAAATCCGTGAATGCTGTCTGGTTAGAATTCTAGGGATCGTTATACGAGATGGAGCAATGGGCAGATACAAGAAATTAAAAGTTAAACAGGAAGTTGGATGAAGGGCAGAGCGCACTATAAGAGACCTTCGTGTGGAAATCGAGTTCTACGCGGAACAAGCTGCCAACTACAAAATTAGGATGGACACCAAACCTCCAGCCTATTTCCAGGAAAGTCCTTCCTCCCCGAGCACAACCTACAGCTGTCCCCCGCTTCCCCACCACCAGACAACTTTGCGCAAGGTGCGTGAAGAATGAAAATGGATACTTATTATAGTTAAGGACATTCCGTTTCAACCTCTTTCCTGTACATATGGTTTAGCATTCACACTTGCCACCTATACCCCCACTATGTAGTATGTACACATCAATTAGTTCCATATTTTAAATCTATTGCTTTAATATTATGTCGGAAAGTTCAATGATTCGGAATTATCTTTTCCGAAACTATTATTCGCCTATTAGGCGACGCCTATTTATTGATATATGAAAGTGTTTTCTAATATAAATTCAATAATACATTATTTAGGAGTGGAAATGAAGCAGGACCAGCCGAATTAGAACTAGAAGTAGAAGATATGGACCAGACAGATCGACAGTTCAACTATGAATTCGCTATCGTGGATGAATCGTCCCAGGAGTCATGCTGCGTAAGTTTCAGTAGTCTCATCCCTGTCAGCACAATAATAATTGTAAGCTCGTATTGATAATATCCTAGCTATAATAGATGGTATTTCCAGGAAAGCCCTTGCCCCTTCCTCCCCCAGCACAACCTACAGCTGTCCCCCGCTTCCCCGCCACCAGACAACTTTGCGCAAGGTGCGTGAAGAATGAAAATGGATACTTATTATAGTTAAGGACATTCCGTTTCAACCTCTTCACCTCTCACCCTCTCTACAATACAATCAAGGAGGATATGCAGAGTTGACGTTAAGGTAAATTTAACCGTCAACTAATTATTTAGATGTAATGATTCACGATAATGTTTTTAGACGTTAACTATTTTATCATATATAATGATTGCATAGCTATTTTACTCTAGATAAAACTATTACATCATTAACCATACAATTCTTCGGGTAGAACATTTCTGACCGAAGTCTGCTCTAAAAAAATGTAGAAATTCTCTCTTGATATTACAAAAAGCTGATAAACGCCCGGGAGTATGCATTTGATGTATGAAACACCTGTTTCAAGTACACTGCCGTGACAAAAGTCAGCTCATGTAACGAGGAGGAGGCAAACCATCTCATCGGGCGTACGGAGTTGGTGAGGATAGCCCAGTCGAACCTGAGAACACGTTTGTACTTTAAACAAGATTGGGCCTGCAGCTGACCGTCTAAACCTATCCAACAACGTCACCACATCCTTTATTGCTGCCATTACCAACCACGGAGGAGGAGACATCGATGACCTATCCCTTTCAAAGTCATCAGCTAGAAGACACAGACGAGCAGCAAGGACTGAACAGACAGATCATTTAAAATAAATAAATGATGCAAAGAATTACGAGGATCTAGTCAAAACCGCTTTTTATTGTGTAGAAGTTCAACAATGAAATATATATATATATAGTGACTATATAGTGACTATATATATATATATAGTCACTAAATGTAATTTCCCTTAATTCATTAAATATTTTTATTTAATAATTGTCTAATTATACTTAATTATAATAATTTTTCGTAGATGTTAACAATATTGATTTCTCGGGGATACAATGGTCATCTTATCATTAAGGAGCTATAAGTGGCAGAATGCTCTAATTTAAGAGAACTTAATACGCGAATAGTATTGAATTTGACTTGATTAAAAAAGGAACGTATATAATATAAATGTATAATTGAGAAGACATCAATTGGGCTGCTGTCATTAAACCATCGATTATAAAAACGCATCCTTCAGATTCTGAGCAGTTTGGTAAGTACCTTGAGACATGCCCTTGGTGACGTCATATCACTGTCATCAGCAAGCTGTAGAAAGAGCAGTGGTTCTAATGGCAGAGTCAAAACTGAAATGAAAGCCAATAAAGAAATGAAAGCCTGACACCACATTGTTATCTTTGAGGAGAGGCAACGAAATCCAGGCAAACAAAGGAAGTTTCAAAAACTGATGAAGTAATATATAAGAGAACTCTCGTTCTGATCGTCTTTATGAATTTTTGTATTACCAAGACGAGTTCGTTAGTGTTCTCCTTGGTCATTTCATGTTTAATTCCTGTTTAAAGTTTAACTCGTCATATTTTGTATGATGTTTTATGATATTGAGTTTATTCCCGATAATGTCAAAAACTACAATCATGCAATGTATTCGATAGTATATATTTATAATTGAATAGTAATACT